ATATATATACTATATAGTAGTATATATACTATATATATATATATATATATATATATGCATATGTAGATATGTAGATATCTATATATATATATACCCGTGTGTGAGTGGTTATAAGGTTATTGTAACTGTTTCAATATTGTTCTTGTACGGACGAGGTAGATCATCAGCCTGCTGGGTATCCCTTGCCAGACCCGAGTCTTTAATCCTAGCTTCAGTGCGTAATCATGCCCTCACACTCGCCAGTAGTCTTCGGCCAGTTGAGCGTATATCAGATATTGACTATCTTAGTAGAGTATTTATACAAGTCAAAAGTTTGTGTGAGTGGTGATTTATACAAGTCAAAGGTGTGTTCATGAGTGGTCTGGTGTTTCACGTAGCACTATCGAATGCACTTATGTATCCACTGGCACACATCCCAATAGACCCATATTACACCCATTACATACGTGCGCCAGAGCGCTACGTATCACATCTCCTTTCCCTCGCTTCTACCTTCATATGCGCAACCATATATATATATATATAGTACACAGCAGTGTCTCGGTTTAAGCTCTAGTTTAGTATGCTCGTGTGATTCCTGATCTTCATATTTTAGCGTTGCTCAATTAAGAAACTGGGCTCTTCCATGAAGATCTAGTTGCGCACGTAAACCAGTATACATACATATCTGCCAAACCGGTATACATATCTACCATATCTACTATACAATGACGATCTAATTCCGTACTGAAATCAATATACATATCTACCATACAGGGTTTGATCCGTTCACACCCCAAGTGAACAGGGTACCCGGCTTACCAATACATAATAAACATATCTACCCTATCTACCATACAGGGTCTGATCCGTTCACACCCCAAGTGAACAGGGTACCCGGCTTACCAATACATAGTATACATCTCTACCCTATCTACCATACAGCGTCTGATCCGTTCACACCCCAAGTGAACAGGGTACCCGGCTTACCAATACATAATATACATCTCTACCCTATCTACCATACAGGGTCTGATCCGTTCACACCCCAATGTGCTGGATCTGCTCAAGACTGTGCACGCGGGAGATGATGTCAAGGGCTTTACGAAACAGGTCAAACTGTTGGTGAGACATGCCACAGCCAACACATCACGCTCACTCGCAATGGCGGTCACCAGACAGAGATTCACGTCCAATAAGCTTGCGTAAGTATTAATAGTATATGTATATAATGTATATATATATATATCTATGTGTGTGTGTGTGTGTGTGTGTGTATCATTATGTATAACGTATTCTTCTAGATGCACATTTGTTTGTACCGAGCTGTATGAAGGTGCTCACATGTCTATCGTCGGATCAATAACCCAGGGTTGTGGACAGGTTTACGCGCACGTACTCAATATGTCGCACTGATCGATATGAAAGAATTAGAATTAATCCAAATATCGCTCTATATATGTTTTATGGTTTAGGGTTTTTTCGAAGTTGTAGGATTTATTTATTTATATATAGATATATATATGCCGCCCTCTACCGGCATGCATTCATCCGCGTACACCCCTATGCGTTTTCTACTTTACTATACATTGCACACATATCAAAAGAAGTTACATACCCTCTACAACCGTACTACTATATGTATATATATATATATATAAGTGTGTGTGTGTGATGCAGATACTTATTTATTCCTCGACAGCTATGTGTATATCCCGGTATGCCAATTAGCGTATTTTGCTTACATATGGACTATATAATACATGCATACGCTGATCTTTCTATTAGACTCAAATATATGCATACACAACTACTACGAATCATTCTATTGAATTCTATTTTACATACATATGTATATATATACAGCTACTAATATCATTCTACTGACCTATATATATGTATATATATATTTATATATATATATATTAATAGCTACTACGAGACTTCGTATTGACCTATAGTATATATGTTTGTATATATATATATATATAGTTGCTACTATATCCTACTGACCTTTTATGCAAATATACATATACAGCTACTACGAGTCGCAGATGGCGCGTCTGGCCGCCAACTTTGCCATCACGTCGGATATGGCCATGTCCATCGGAGGACAATTGAAGTTTGCCGAGTTTATCAGTGGTAGGTATGCCGATGTGCTCTCTAACCTATATTTGGGATATGCCAATCTGTGGTACTATAAGAACTACTACGCCGAGGGCCACGATGAGCTGTTGACTGTGTCTATGGAGCAGATCTTGTACGATACCCAGGTATGATAAACACAGTCACTTGTGTCCATATATATATACATATATATGTATGTGTGTGTATATGTATTATGTGTATGTGTGTCGATATATATCTATATTGTATGTGTGTTTGTTCTTTGTTTGTGGTTGTCTGCTTGTTTGTTTGTTTGTTTGTTTGTGTGTATGTACATGCTCTTATCTGTAGGTCCAGATGTACTGCACATCTGTGCATGTACAACTCATATGCTGTGACATCAACAACAACAACAACTCCCCGTACCCTCTTCCCATTTATCCAGTGGATAGGGACTCAGAACTGATCTGCTTCCCTTTTAGATCGTGTTACACCCCTACACTTCTCACACTCACATCTACTACATTCCATACATATACTCTACATCCCTCTCTCATATACACATCCACATGTATTCCACGCCCATTCAGAACTCCATCTACGACATCAGCAACAACTTCCCCATCCGTCCCGTCGGTTGGGCTATGAAGGCCATCACGTTCCCCTTCGGCAAGTGCTATAGCGCACCCACTGATGACATGCGCAGAGCGGCTGCCAGCACCATCACTACCCCGACCGAAGTGCGAGACCAGTTCAAGGTTTGTCTGCGCGATATAACCTATTTATATGAACATGTATATATATACATATATATGTATATGTATCATAGTGTATGTATGTACGTGTGTGTGTGTGTGTGTGTCCACTTTTATATGAGTGTGTCTATACATAAGAATAGTTGTATGTATTATATGTGAGCACTTACATATCATCCACATGCACATTAACAAGAGGCATGTGCAAAGTGAGTATGGTGTGGGTATATCTGTGCATATAAGCTCGCGTGCTGTATGTGAATTGGTGGGCGTCGTGCTGAAGACTATCTGAGCACCCAAAATATTCCATTTATTCCAACCGGACTGCTATCAAGCAGATCAGAAAACCGGTTTCCCCCCAATTCTGTGAGTATCAACTAGCCATGCTTGATAGAGCCGTTCCCTTATTCACTTGCATCTTGGTTTTGTTTTTGGTTTTGGTTTCGATACAATTTTAAAAAAAGTGTTCATCTCCAAATACTCTGAGGGTCAACTGGCCATGCTTGACGAAACCTTCACCATGACTCACATACCGCCCTGATTTTGCTTTCGCTTCCACGTTCATTCCATCCTAATTTTGATTTGGCTTTTGTAACCCGTGACCCATCCAGCAAAATATGTTCATCTCCAAAACCCCCGAGGATCGTCTAGCCATGCTTGAGGAGGCTTTCCCCCTGGCCATACAGGCCGATGACATTCTCAAGTCACTCCGAAAACAGAGACGAGACGCGTCCGAAAGCGAGGCGAAGGTCATTGACTACGTCGACGAATTGCGGGAGAAGATTATCCAGGTGGACTCGCATGAAGTGTTGGGTCGCCAGTACTGGGAGCGCGAGATATTGGGCAAGGTATGGCTACTGCGTGCATTTGTTAGAGGGATAGAGATACGAGTATTGGGTTTTTGGGATGTATAGAGATACGAGTATTGGGTTTTTAGGATGTATAGCGATACGAGTATTTGATTTTGGGATATATAGAGATACGAGTATTGGGCTTTTGGGATGTATAGAGATACGAGTATTGAGTTGTTAGGATGTATTTAGATATGTGTATCTTTGCGTTATTCGTGGGATGTAGATGCTTCAAGATAGAAATGTAGATATGTGTATATGTTTTTCTGTGACCATGTATGCCTGTGGTATATGTAAGGGTTTCAAAAGGTGGTCCCGTTGGATACCCATGAAGTATTGGGTCGCCAGTAGTGAGCGCGGGGGATATTTGACAAAGTTTGGCTGAACTCCGAGCCAAATAGGTATCCAGATGAATCGTGATACTTTGAATCTTGAAGATGGTTTAGTACTACTTCATTCACATTAGAAATATGTTGTTATGTA